TCACAGTAGATCACAGTAGATCACAGTAGATCACAGTAGATCACAGTAGATCACAGTAGATCACAGTAGATCACAGTAGATGCCAGTAGATCACAGTAGATGCCAGTAGATCACAGTAGATCACAGTAGATCACAGTAGATGCCAGTAGATCACAGTATGGCAATGAGTAGATCCCAAACTACATGTAACAAGGGTAGACATGATGCGGTATTTTTAGTAATGCAGTCAACAGTCTAGTGGTCGTGTCGTCATGGGATTTAATTATCTGGAGTAAGATATTGCAAATCCAGAAGACAGTGTCCTGATAAAGTTGTTTCCAGTGGCGTAGCCAGGATCGTCCAAGGGGGGAGGTTCGAATTTTTACCAGGGGACAAACTTTCGATTTGCACCCCCCCCCTCAAACTTTCGATTTGCACCCCCCCCCCTCAAACTTTCGATTTGCACCCCCCCCGTCATACTTTTTATATATACCGAGGGGTCTATGGGGGGGGGGGGGGTTATAACCCCCCCCCCCTAACCCCCCCCCCTGCCTACGCCACTGGTTGTTTCAACCCGTCTAAAGGCGGCTAGTGCGGTGATGTTCGGGTATAACAGCATTGTGATTGCAGGTTGTGATAGAGCTGCGCGATAATAAAGTTTATTGTGGGGAACATTGTGTAATTTATGGACGACAAACTTGCCTTTATTTTAAAATAATCGTAGTAGTAATTATCAGGCATATTCTTCACACCATGGGATGCCAATGTTAACGGCGATATATTTTTACAACTGAAATAATTTAGTATAGGTCTGACCGATTTCTTCTAAAATACAATCAGTTAGCTTTAATCTTTTGCAATAACAATTTGATAGACCTATTTATACTATTGTTATTTGTATTCATAGGGTATGTCTTAAATGTGACTTTTATTTTATTTTGTCAAATTTTTTTCTAGATTTGGTAAATTAAACCAAAAGTAACTTCCTACAAACAATATGTAATGCACAATTATGGTTTGGAAATACGTTTAATACGATGCACTACCCAAATTAAAAGTTTCACTAATGTAGTAGCTAATATAATTACACAGTTATCGATCTCAAATATAGCTAACGTAACTCATTAAATGTAAAGTTGATCTCAAAGTAATCAGCCTAAGTAAAACATTAAAGCTCAACTCACTAAGCTAACCGGAATATAATAATCCTTACTCTAACTAAAACATAAAAAAGCATTTACAAATTATTGATTACAAATCTTAGCATCTTTCTTATTCAAGACGATTAACATTATGTTTTTTTGTCAAATAATTGTGTTGTAGTTATCGTTACATTGCCTAGCAGAAACAGTAAAATAAAAAAGATTGAAATTCGGAAGCAGATTGATACCCATCAGGATATTGTGTGAGAAGCGAATACACATTCTCTTCATTCCTATCCCCTGCTCATAGAAGAAGAAATCAATAAAAATATGTAGTTTCATATGTATGCTCCCTGAATTAATGATAGGCTATCTACTGCCTTGATATAAGTCGTCATATAGGCAGTGTTTCTTCCAGACTTTTTTCTCCGGGGGGTACTTGATCGGGGGGGGGGGGCGGTAAACTTTCTTCGGGGGGGGGGGGGCGGACACTGTTAAAAGTATATATTTTCTATATAAATTATATAAATTTCATTTCGTTCGGGGGGCGGGGGCGGTAAAAAAATTTTCGCCCCCGAAGAGATGCCTGGAAGAAACTCTGCATATAGGTGACTCATGAGAAATCTCACCCGATAAACACGCATGTTTGTTTCGAGTATTTTATACCAACATGCACCATCAAACATTTTATAGGAACATGTAACATCAAATATTTTATAGCAACATGTTATATAAAATATTTTATAGCAATTTGTAACAGCAAATATTTCTTACCAACATCTAATATCAAATATTTTATTGCAACATGTTACATGAAATATTTTATAGCAATATTTAATATCAAATATTGCATACCACCGTGTAAGTTTGAATAATGTATTTCATTATGTAAGATCGAGTTTGCTATAGTTGAGACACACGTAGCAAGATCTCACAAGCTTCCTAAGACACCTGTGTGTCAATATCATCGATCTGTGACAGCCAACGGTAGACAAGATATTCCTAGGTCAGACTACTAAAATACAAGACACTTCTTAGGTCAGACTACTAAAATACAAGACACTTCCAAGGTCAGACTACTAAAATACAAGACACTTCCATGGTCAGACTACTAAAATACAAGACACTTCCGTGGTCACACTACTAAAACACAAGACACTTCCATGGTCAGACTACTAAAATACAAGACACTTCTTAGGTCAGACTACTAAAATACAAGACACTTGAATAGTCAGACTACTAAAATACAAGACACATAATATTATTTAAACTTTTATATTTCCGTAGACATTATTGTCAACACATATGACTTTACCAACAAATGATTTAGGCCAAGTGTATTAACCCCTTCAACATGAGTCATCTATCACAGGGGTCTCCAAACTACGGCCCGCGGGCCGGATGCGGCCCGCGAGGTCCTCTCATCCGGCCCTCGGAGATCTTTTTGCCCGCGAAAAAAAAAGTTTGTTGGACGTGACTGAGGTAAACTTCGAAACAAATTGAAAATGTAGCATTGAGTGCAAATAACATTGAAGTAAATGTAACCAGTTGCCCAGCAAATGACCTCCTTAAACTAAAGACAAGGTCAAATAATGGCGGGTGGGTTTTATAAGTATTTTGCCCAAGGAAGACTTTTCTAATATTAAAACTTTTGCCTCAAAGTACCTTTCAAATTTTGGAACAACATACAAACTTTATTAAGAATGAAGTAGGCCTACGTGAAAAAAAATGTGAGAACAAACTTGGACCTCGAGTGTGTTGTCGGTCCCCGAAAGTGTTTCTTTCAGACTTTTTTCTCGGGTGGGGGGACACTTGAAATTTGCATATATATATATATATATATATATATATATATATATATATATATATATATATATATATATATATATATATATATATATATATATATATATATATATATATATATATATATATATATATATATATATATATATATATATATATATATATATATATATATATATATATATATATATATATATATATATATATATTATATATATATATATATATATATAATATATATATATATATATATACTGGCCCCCGGACGTATATTTGATAGCTAATCCGGCCCTCGGGCTGAAAAGTTTGGAGACCCCTGATATCAGATCATCGTGGCGACAGATCGGCGAACACTTGACAACTCTCTACCCCTCTATAATCTCGAAATATTACAAGTTGAAATAATATCGACTGAATTCCACTTTTACAGTTGATTGTGACTGGCGTCAGTTGTTGCCGCTGTCAAATGACATTAAATTGGACGCGATGAGATAATCTGAAATATTGTCTGCATCGTTTGTACATCCCCGCTGGCTGTAGCAGTTTGTGTAATCTAAAGTTTAGCATCATATCAATGTATGGGGTCGATACGCAATAGGTTAGACAACAATTTGATAAACTAGATACAAACTGCCCCAGTACCTTTACGCTCGCTTGATTGCCAGCTAATTAAGACGGGAGGTTTATGACTGAGGGAGTTGTTCTGTACAGTAACGATACGATAATTTACTGTAACCTAAGGGACCTCGGGCTATGTTTTACTGTGTAATCTAAACGCAGGATTTGGGTGGAAAATTTGGGATGTCGATTTCAAGAAATTACAATAGAATTGAGTGATGTTTATGATTTCAAGAAATGACTGGAGAATTGGGAGATGATACACAATGATAACATGGGCAGGGCAAATCAATATACAGAGATCACGTGACTAGACGTGAATACAAAGAAAAATGTAATGACGTCACCTGAAGATATTGACTAACGTTGTGATCGATCTGTTTCTTAGCTCAACGTTTAAAAAGTCAATCGGAACCTTTGGTAGTTACCTTAGGCTGGTGTCGTGTGGTGTAAAGCTAGTGTATGCAACGTGCCACTCATCTCAGCGTAAAAACAGCCAATCGGAACCTTTGATAGTTACCTTAGGCTGGTGTCGTGTGGTGTAAAGCTAGTGTATGCAACGTGCCACTCATCTCAGCGGTAAAAAAGTCTGTCACGTAGCTACCTTATGCTGGTGATGTACATTGTACCGCCAGCGACAGTGTCCATCAGATCTTGTTGTCAGCGCTTAATGCGTGTGGTGATGGTGATATATCAACATCAGCTGTATGCACCCTATGTACATGACACGTACTTACAGTATTATCACGATATCATACACGCCTATGTTTATATCTTGATAATCCACTGACAACGCTTATGATTGTGTTGGAGGTAAAATAAAATATCCTCAGTGTTCTATACATAGGCAGGCTATCTAGTAGACTGTAACATAAAACATAATAGAGTCACATACGATTTGATTCTGTTAAGCCATATGTAGCATCACTAGTCACTGAACCAATTAAATAGTTTAACGTTACATAGAAGGTGTGGTTAGAGAGTAGACAAAATGTAACGTGTATCTTGTGAACTGGTTGACAAATAAACATTTTAAATGTTTATAGAGGCCCCAATTACCAATACTGTTAAATCACTACGATTGAAACAAAAAGTAAAAAATTGGCCTGCTGAAATTGTATGTTGAATTTAATCAACAGCCATATTCGGTTGATTTTTTTTCCACAAACCATTGATTCGTTAGTCTTATATAAATTTACTTTAGTAAAAGTATTTAAAAACATTAAGTGCCATGTGATTTGTGGAACACGTTCTATATCCAACATAACTTGAATTATAAAACAGAAACAGTTCCGCAGTTTGTTGCAGTACGTCTATAACTAACGTAGGTTGAATATAGAACACCAACACGTCTTATTATACCGCAGCACGTCTATAACTAACGTAGGTTGAATATAGAACACCAACACGTCTTATTATACCGCAGCACGGCTGACGCCTAACGTGTACTGAACCATGGCTGTTCCAAACGACACCATCACCCCCACCTTTTTTGTCTCCAGCAGCATCTACATCCCGCCCCTCCTCCTCGACTTCTTCATGGTCTTCAACCTGCTCATCTTCGGCGAGATCGTCGGCGTCCTGGGCATTGTCGGCAACATCATCAACATCATCGTCTTCTACAAGCAGGGCCTGAAAGACAGCGTCAACATCAGCCTGGCCGCGCTGGCTCTCAGCGATATCGGGTCGTTGATGTCGCTGCAGATCATCAACGTCATGTTGAATCCCTGGTTTATCAGCGCCAGCCAGATCGTACGAGCCTACGACTTCGTCATCATGGTCGCCTTCTACCCCCACAACTACTTCATCCGTGTGTGTGGTTTCATCACAGCCTTCGTCTCCCTGGAGAGATGTCTGTGTGTGGTGGCGCCGTTAAAGGTGAAGCGAATCATGACGCCACGCGTAGCCGTGGTGGTCAATGTTCTCATCTTCACCGTCACGCTGCTGGACATGTTCCCCGTGTACTACACGGCGTACCTCGACTGGAAGTTTTACCCCGGCCTCAACAGGACGATGGTGGGGATGGTGTTTAGACAGAACCCGTACCTCGTCTACGCCGCCTCCTACATCATCACCGACCTCTTCATCCCTTACTTCACTTTCTTCGTCATCATCACCAGCACCGTCATCATAGGGATCAGACTCAGCAACCGGGCACTATGGCGGCAATCTGTGTCAAAGGTCACCAAGGCCGACAACGTCTCCACTAAGGAGAAGAAGGTTGTGGTCATGTTGGTGACCGTGACCTTGATCTTCATCGTCTGCCTCCTCCCCCAGTCCGCCTTTCTGACGGCCACAAGTTTCGTGCCCGGGTTGGTGTTTTTCGGCACGAACTCTGACCTCTCGTTCCTGTGTTACTGCATGTGTTACCTGACGGAGACCGTCTCGTCGTCCGTCAACATCGTCGTGTACTACCGCATGAGCGGCAGGTACAGGGAGACTTTGGTCAGCGTGCCGGGATTCAGGAGGTCCAAGTAGACAATCAACAAGATATAAACCGGGAATTATCTCCCCTAAACTTTCTCAAATTTTCTTACATAACACTACGGGGGATGGCAACTCGGGATATATACATGATTTTTAATCCATTTTTAAAAACTTCAACTTTTTAAAATAGAAAAAAAAAATCTTGTAGAAAAAATATTATTGCGCACCAAGTAAACAGCAAACAATATGCATAATAGTGCGGAACACAATTATGTTATTTATAAATTCATATGCGTTTTTTTAGAGAACGGAAATAGCGTAACAGTACTACTTCCGGTCAACGAAAATTACTCAAACTTTGACAGTGAGATCTCTTACTTATATTTGAAATTTCATCTATCAAAAAAAGTACCCAAGTTATAAGCTTTTGAAAAAACAGAAAGTAGAATTAGCTACGGGGAAAATGGCAAAGCCCAGTTTTTCCGACTCAATGACGCGTAAAATGCAGAGATTTTGATACATCTGGATTCAGAATTTTTGCCCGATTAAAATGAGTCGCCTATGCTTCGTATTTGATGAAGTAATGAGGTGTAGAACGACGGAAACTGTCAAAATTTTATGTTATTTTTGTGCAAGATTACAATACTTCCTCTATACTCTGCATAAAATAAAAATAACAATAAATAAATAAAAATGCGTGATTTCGCATGCCCAAGTACCCTATGTTATTGTTTTAAAACATGAAACTCAATCGAGACATAATTGTCTAAATAAACGAATTTCGCCTTTAAGAAATTTCTTCCTTTAACTTGATACACGAACTATATTTGTTGACCTCTTCTTATTTTCTAGCTAGGGGGTCATCCGTAAATGACGTCACGCTTTTTTGACGATTTTTACCTCTCCCCTCCGTCACACGTCGTCACAAAAAGCCAGACCCCCCCCCCCTAATTGACATCACACCTCAACCTACAACCCCCCCCCCCCCCTCAAAATTGCAGTTGAATTTTTTTTAACATCGATATTTTTCTAAAATCTTGTCTAAACTATTACAATTTATTAAAACAGTTATCTAAAACGTGAAATAACGTCTAAAATTCGTTTTCTAACACTGCTTTTTTATAATGCAAAAGTGTGACGTCGCAACATCTGAACCCCCCCCCCCCCTCCCCCTCATCACACGTCGTCACAAAATTACGGACCCCCCCTCCCCCTACAAATGTGACGTCATTTATGGATGACCCCTAGGTATTCACTGATTGATCTTAGTATCATTTAAATAAAACGTGCTGGACTCATCGATGTTTGACTTTCTGTAGGTTATTAATATCAATTATCTATGGGTAGGATAAAATTATGGTGGACGAATCTACAGCCAATAACTTACGAGTCTTCGAGTGGTCGAGCTCAAAATTCAGATTCCTAGCCTCACCACATACCATTAAATTTAACCGTGTAAAGGGGTCGGGGTTGAAATTCTTTGAAAAGTAGGCATTTTGGTAAAAATGTTTCTATTTAACACAGAATGATACAATTTATCGGGCAGATGAGGCTCGTTAGCTGGGGACAGCCACTCTTCTAGAAGAGACAACTCCAAAATTAAACAACTGCTGCCTTGTAGTTTGTTCTTGGTTGGACAAAGGCTATGGAAGCAAATCCAAAAAGAAAAGCAGGCTGAAATCGGAGTCTATGGCCTCAATGGCGCATAAACAGTTGACACGTAACGCTTAATTGTGTTGGAGGCGTGGTTGAGTCGGCAAAAAGCTCATGGTTGATAAATTCGAACAAATTCTCGAGTTCAAACGCACTGGCAGATAAATCTCGATCCCCTTCAACACTAATAATTAAGAACGAAGAAGAAGAAGAAGTCTCTACCATTGTGACAGTCTGCATACCCGTCACATACAAAGCTATACGGTACAACTTCTGAAACTAACCCGCAATGAAATAAATGATTTTGTATCGAGAGTTTCTATTTAAAATGTTGTTATTTTTTCTTGGTAAGATGGTTTCGTACTTGTTTACAACACTATACTGGTTGGACATCAATATCGGGTGAAATTCACACATTACTAAGCGTGCAATATAATCATTTGAATGTACAGAAACGAGAGAAATATTTTCACAGATAAATAAATCATTATAATAGAATTCTAAGACCGAGCACGCTGGGTCTATTGTAGTGTTAATGAAAAAGCGACCGTAGGTCAAAGGTCGTGAGTTATCCCAATTTGAATAAACAAATCTCCGAGAGGATTTTAACTCGCATCGTCCATAGTGAATGAAATGGGGACCGTGTTTTAAGTGAGGATCTTTGTTATGAAACGAAGTCATCTGTATGGTTGGAATATGATCGTGGTGATGACTGCAGTGAGAGGTTCAAATGAAACGCTAACACAATTTCAGCTGAACAGGTTTAATAACATAGATAATGGAACTACACTGTATATGGTAGTCTTACTATCGTCTAAGGAAGCAGAACTAGTTCATTAATAGCGGCTGGCCTTAGGGGCTAGCCCTACCACACTTTACAAGAACACAAAAACACGACTACATTCTAACCAGCCTAACGTTCAACTGTTAATCTATTCTCAGGGCCCAAGCTTCACCCTTTGGGTTCCTTAACCCCTGCCTGACCCTGTCAGTCCAGCGCGGGGGAGGGGTGGGCGCCCTAGCCTGCACATAGCTACGGGGATGCATTTTTCCCAGCAGGTGTGGGACGTGAAGGGGGTGGGGAGGGGCGGTAACACGCTGTCCCAGTTCAGGTGTGAACGGAAAGGGGGGTGGGGTAGATACCAACTAGCGGTTGGACGAGGGAGGGGGGGGTTGGACTCATAACATCTCCCCTCTCCTTTGACAAGCTGGCAAAGCCAGCGAGGTTTACACTCTCTACATACATGATCTATCACATACTAATACAATAATAGCAGTAGGAAAGCAACACACCAAACATCTTAGTACGATACAAAATAATAAAGCTTCCTCAATAGGTGACACTACTGTGTCTAAACTCTAAACAATCAACAGCTAACAAAGTTCAATAATAAATGCTACTGAGTAATGCTAAATCTAAAGTAGTTTGTACAACATTATACAGTTCGTGTCTAGACTTTATCACTATAGCATATAAAATGAACTCTTCCATATCATCTATTTCAGTAATATTTTTTCTCTAAACTGTACGACAATATGTACCTAATGGGGAAAAAATGGTTATACATCTTAAATTTCAGCATAATTAATAAGGTTAAGTAATCATAAATATACCACAAGCAACACATTATTTCTCCTATATAATTAGATAAAACTTCTCAGGTTGGTAAAACTAAGTAATATAGCCACAATTATAATTAGTTTCTCTACAACATACGAAATATCTTAGAGGAATATTTTCCAACAAAACCCAAAAAATCAATAGACAAGATATACTCGGCAACACATCGATATACCATCATAAAAACCCATTAAAAGCATAGACTGCATCATCAGTCTCTAAACATCATCTCATTCTTGTCCTATCTATCTATCTAGCGGAAACTCAACCGTCGCAAGCTTACCGTCAAGTAAGTGGAACGATTGACCGCTTCACACATCATCGTCCTATCTAGCTATCTAGCGGTAACTCAACCGTCGCAAGCTTACCGTCATGTAAGTGGATCGATTGACCGCTTCAAAATTTCACAACATAAAAAAAAACACTAAGCTACAGGGTTCAATCATCACACGATTAAGAAAATAAATCCTCCAAGGATAGTGTATATCATAGGCATCTCGTTATTTAAACATTCGGTCAACTGGTTAACAATAGAAATTTTTTAACAAATCAGGCTATAAAAGTTATGGTTGTCTTGTAAAGGGTCCTAACTTTATGATTGTTATATAAGCTTTGAACTGGCACATCGAATAAATCAAGACAGAAATGATTTTAAAGTGCATTGATGAAATGTAAACAACCTATCTCTAGCACAACACAAAATTCCATCTAAAAAAAGAATTCTAAAAACAATCCCTTATTGATGACTTCTAACAAATGCAGCTAATTGACCTAAACTAAAGAATTATAGACTTAACTGACTGCTGGACTTTGGCATACGACTTACAGAAGAGGAACAACGCTGTTTATTATTGTTATAACATATTGGAGCTTAACATTTCTAAATCTAAATTCGTCGGCTTGGACATCTGGAACTGCTGTGGGATGACATCGACACATGAACACTTCATTTTAACTTCATTGGGGTAGGGTACTTCATATCGTCATTAGGGGTACACGAATACTCCATATCATCACGGGGCATCAGGGGTGTAGGGATATTTCACATCATCATGGGTGGAGGGGTGCTTCATATCATAACAGTTCAGATGCCATTAGACTATAAACAATGACGATTTAGTCAGTAGTCACTCTCACTAATCACTGTCACTTACTTCAATGTTGGAAAAATAAATTCTTCAATTCTAACAAGTCACCAAAGGCAATTAAAGTAGGTAGTCCAAGCTAATCAAAGTCCTAATTGATGTTATCTCAGAAATTGCACAAAACTTGACATTAACTAATAGTGACAGTTCTGTCTCACGGATTTTGAAACAAAAGTTCCATCCACTTATGTAGATCTACGTAAAACTTGACAACAACGAACTTGACGCTAAACAGAGACGATGTGTGGCAGTGGCGTGACATTAAAATAGTAGATCTAGATCCGTACCTCTTCGAGAATCACCGAAGTTGAAAAAAAAATTTCACAAAAGTTCTTTTACCCTGTTTCGACGTTCTTTAAAAGTCAGTTTGCTACTCAACCAAAAACGTTATGAATAATTTTAGCTGCTCTATCAAAATATTGTAAGTCGGTTCGCTGTTAGATAGTTTTGCTCCTTGATCCGAATATTATGAATGTCCTTTTTGATACTCCACCAAAATGTAATAGGTCGTTTTGCTGCTCCACCAAAATGTAATAGGTCGTTTTGCTGCTCCACCAAATGTTATGAAACGAAGTCATCTGTATGGTTGGAATATGATCGTGGTGATGACTGCAGTGAGAGGTTCAAATGAA